CCGGGCCCGGGCCCGGGCCCCGGCCCGGCGTCCCTGCCCACCGCGGCTCTCCCCGGCGTGGCCCTCCGCCGCCGAGCCCAGCTCGCGTCCTGGCCCAGGGTCCCGGAGCTCCGGGCGCGCCCCCTGTCCGTGGGCGAAGTTTGCCCCGCGCAGCCCGAGGCGGGGCGTCGGGGTCCGGGAGCAGAACCTGGACCGTCCCCGGGGCGAGCGTGACGCCTGCCTGGAGCCAGGGTGGACGCAGCCCCTCGCCGAGGGCTCTGGTTGCAGAGTCCAGACCCGCCACGCCGGGAGCCGGCAGGTCGCTCCTCCGCGGACGACTCCCCGCCCTCCCCGCCTGCGGCTTCCACGTTCTTTCATTTTTGTGGGCGCGTTTTTGTTGGTTCGGATGGGATTGGGCAAGGGTTGCCCTATTGCCGCTGGAGGTGAATCCAGATGTGCGGGAACCCTGCCTGCCCAGCCTCACTGGTGCACACTTTTTTCTGTTTCTGTTTTTGCTCTCATTGTAGGAGAAGGGAAAAGGAGAGTGGGGTGTTGTAGGAAAGGAAATAATATCCCTGAAAGTGATCTGAAAGCTAGCGACTCTTATTTATTTAGCATTAGGTATTTTCAAGAGCGGCTTTTTCAAGGCCCTTAAAGTGCACTCAGCATCTCACTATTCCCACAGTCATCTTGGGTTGCTTTTTAGAGCAAGATCATTACTGTTAGCCAAACTGTCACCGTTAGTGTGTTATGCACAGTATCCGAAAGCGTTGCCTTAGGTCCTTTATTAGTCTCTGCAGGAAGGTTTGGGGACGAGAGAACAAACAGACGTGGAGATGGGAGCCTCTAGATTGTAGTACGAAGTTGCACCTTGTGTCGGGGACTGACCTGAACGTTCTAGGAAATGACTCTCCTCTTAAGAACACTGGCTAACTTAGACATTATACTGGTCTGTTCATTATCTATAAGAGGTAGGAAATTGCTTGAACTTTTTTCTCAACTTAGCCAACCCGAGTTGTTTTTTTCCACTGGAGAGTGGGTATTTGAAACTAACTTAACTCATCTTGTTGACCTATCAACGTTGATTTTCCTTATTGTTAGACCTAATTAAAATTTAGGACATTTGTTTTGTCATTTAAAATGCAGAGAATCTTCCTTCTCCAGAGTTAGTAAATACATAGACACTAATGTTTTGGGGGGTGAGTTATTATGTATTAAAATACCGGATTTAAGTATTGCTGTACTGATTGAAAAATTGACAATGCAGAATCGACTCAGCACCAGTGGGACCCACTCATGGAAAACTCAATTTACGTAGTTTATTATTGTGACATTATTCTGGGAAACATTTTAATCTCATTTTAAAGGTTCTGATTTTTCCTTCTGACACTTTTTCCTAATAACCTGTGTGTTACATAGAATCACTGAAAAAAAATAGTGTAGATTATTTATGAGCCTAGGAATATCAGCAAAGCCTTATTTACTAGACTCAGTATTCTTAGAACACTTAAGTAAATTAGATAAAAATGAAATTGGAAACAGAAAATAAAAACTGCCGATACTTACTGAACATGGGAAAAGAGAAAGTTCATGTATTTCTGTATTAAAACAGCAGAAGTGCATGGTCAGCCAAGCATTTCAGGTAACAAAAATAATGAGTACTATTTTCAGAGTAACAGTTTTACAGATGGAAGAACAAGTACTGTTTAATAGTAAATCTGAGGCTAAAATTAAGGATTGCAGAAAAATTCACGATTGAATGGTGAGATGATTTTTGTCATTTTTCCACATTTTGAAGAAAGAAATCTGCATCAAGTCAGCTCAAGATCACTACTACAGTTGAGTAATCATGAAAACACTTACTGGGTTACTTCAGACAAAGGGGTAAATATTCTTCTTTTTTAAAAATGCGGGTAAGAATCACAAGTTGATTCCTTTTCCCCAGTTTCAAGAGTACACTTGGAGAGCACAACGCTTTTTCATCCACATGGAACTCTGTTCCACTGCTCTCTTTTTTTCTGTGTATGAAAACTCTTCTGACATCTGTACAGTTTAAGTCTTAATACATACATACTAATCTAAAAGTACCTATCTCTCTGTAATCTTAAAGACCTACCCTAGGTATTTGCTTGCTGATATAATTTTAACTTTTGCATTTATTCCAGATTAAATGTTTATTCTTATCATATTAGATAACTCTGATTAGTAGTAAGCAGATTTATGTAATAGTGGAGTTGTCCCTATACTTTATTGTGAATGGAAATTTGTCCATAAGAATATGATGTCTAATTTAGGTTACTTAATGGAGAATCAAGGTTCATTTTAGAAAAGCCTCGTTTGCCCCCTTTTGTTTTTCTTTTCTCATGTTCTGAAGATCTCAAGTAGTTAGGCATCCCATTCATTCTTCCCATCTCATTTTTTTAATCATTCTTGTTGAGAAAATTTAAAAGATGGTAACTGGAGAGTGCCTGTCTTTATTACTTTGGATTTTTAAAATAATTTTCTTCCGAAGTTACTAATAGTACCCCCATTTTTATGTATCTAGTCTGACACTCCTGTATTATACTTGCTTGGGAGTTGCTCAGATTACCATTTAACATATAGCAATCACATGAACCTTCAATTGTAGTTAAGTGTTCTTTCACGCTCTGTATCCATAAACCAGTTTATTATGGCCTACCCACACCTTCCTTGACCCCCCCTTTTCCATGTCTCTGAGACGTGTTTTATTTCTAAAGTCTTTTAGCTGAAAGGATTTCTTTCTCTGTGTGATTGTGAAATTGTGTAAGACCCAAGCTGGCTGCCAAAAATGACTCGTCACATAATTAGGTGTTTTAAAATAGTATCTCCTAAGTTATTTTATAAATATTACCAACTATTATGAGGAGTGGTATATGATGTTAAGTAATATATATTTATAGAATTAAGGTACATTGCACTTTTTTTTCCCGGTATGATTTCCTTCTCTCTGTACTACAGTAATTTTCTACCTTATCAGTTGAGTTAATCAGACATGAGGAAGCAGTTTTAGACTATGTTGTCCATACTTGCCAAACATTTGGTTGATCAACTAGATTAACAGTACCTAATTTTACTTTGTTTAGTGAAGCAAAATGTGGTTTCTAATTGTTGTAATTATAACACTTTTATTAGGTGCCTTTTCTGTAATGATTATCTTATTATAACTTGGTAGCTTTTTCCATAGAAGTGGTGTAAATGATTCATGTGTAAGGAGAGCTGCTCTTTTCCTGCCTTCACAGGTTGTAGAATGTTCTCCCTAGAGAGGTAATTCTTTGAGTCCTGGGCTTTGGCTGTAGTTAGCAAAGAGGCTCCACACACCTTTTTGTGGGGCAGAAAATTGCAGTTTAGGTTTGAAACTTAGAATGCAGTTTTCCCACAGAAATTGTAGTCTGAAAGAGTTGTTTATTTAGGACAAACACTTGTTTTCAAAGGAGTGATAAACCTGTGAAACATAAAGAGTATATAACTTGGGGACTACTTCCTGTACTTTGAGTTGATATTTTTCTTCATGTTGCAGATGACAAAAAGAGGCTAATTTCAGTTTTGAAAAAGAAAATGGGTAACAAAATCAGTTCTAGATGTCCCAAAAGCTTAAAAAGTCTCTTTGACTGTAGGACTATTAACAGCAATCCAGATGCACTTCAGAGCAGGCATACTGCCACCAGTTTTATTGTAAACTAAAAATTGTTTTTTCCTTTTTTAAAGTTTGGTGTAAGACATGTACGCTTGCCCTAGAGGGAAAATGAGAAATCATACCCAAGGGAAGCATCCAGGCTGCAATCCCTTCTCCTCCAGTCTCCTCTAGGGGTTGTGGGAATGTATGCACATGCATCTAGCATGATTCTCAAGCCACTGGGTCCAGGATTCGAACCATGCAGCTAGCTAGCCATGTGACATCCAGCCACCCTAACCATCCTCCATGCCACCTGCTAGCCTCAGTTCAAATGTTTCTAGTCTCAAACTTTGAGATGATTTTAAGATACAAGTACTGAGAGAGGGGTACAGGGAGTACCTTGAGCTGCTGAGTTGGAAGATGGAATTGGATCTGTTACCATCTGTGGTGTGGTGGCTCCTATAGATAGTATTTGTGGATTTAATAAGGCTTGTGGTAAGTCCTAGGGTATTAGGATCTGTCATGAAAGACCTTGTAACTTTTTATTTTCCTTCTTTATGGTTTTCCTGTGTTAAGGGCTAGCGAGTAGTAATGCATGGTCCTTACTGCCATGAGTAGTTTGCCATAAAGACAACATTGGTTGTAGACCAAACATTAGAAACTGAAAATAAGGATTTACATTATAGGCGCCGACCCAGTTATGAATATAGAGTGATTTACTAGCTGTTTGCACCTAATCTATCTCCACTGTTAGGTTTTCAGTAAGTATTGACTGTATGAGAAAATGTTGCATTTTTTTTTTCTTTAAAGTTTATTTCTTTTATGTGTGTGAGAGAATGAAGAATGACAAGTACCGTAACAGGGTCTCACTCAGCAATTCCCACCCACTCTTGCCTTCCCAGGATCATGGATACATGCACCCCACATGTATAGGTAGATCAGGGAATTGAACCCACCATTAAAGTATGGATCCAGCATCACTTGAGTAACTTGTTATTGCTGTACCACAGAACCAGGCTAAAATCTTTTTTCATTGTAATATTTTAATATTCATTAGTGTGTGTGGACTTTCAGAAATTTAAAAAAAATGAGAAGGTTAATGTGATTCTGGAATAACCAGATCACATTTCCCCCTTACTTTGTTTACTTTGAAAACTTAATGATTGATATTGCAGGGAGCAACGATACTGAATTAGAAAGCCACTACAATTCAGCAGATCTGTATATTGCTAAAATTATTGTCTTAAAATTTTCAAGCATACAGGAAAGTTGAAAAGGATTTTGTAGTGAGCAAAGTTTTTAAAAGTCTTTTTTGCTATAGGGCATGTGTGTTTACCAGAGAGAGACAGAGAGGAAAAGTGAAAAATCACTCCCCACGGGGATGGTCACACTGCAATACCTTCTCCATTCTCCTCTCTAGATTTTGGGTATGCACACACTCCTGGCATGATTTTTCAAGCCACAGCATCCAGAATTCAATTGCACTGTTGGCCATGTGGGATCCAGCACCTCAACCACTGCACCACCTGCTTGTCCCTTCTTTCTTTTTTGGGGGGAGAGGTTTTTGCTATAGGATGCGTGCGCTCACCAGACAGACAGAGAAACAGAAAGTGAGAAATCACCCGCCGGGGGGAGATGGCCACACCGTGATCCCTTCTCTTCTGTTCTCCTCTCGGATCCTGGGCACGCACGCACACGCGCCTGGCGTGAGTTTAAACCACTGGGTCCGAGACTCGAACTGCAG